ATGAAGTAACAAGAAATTAGCACTACCTAATAAAATAACGAAGTAACAAGAAATTAGTAATAACTAATCAAATAATGAATAACAAGAAATTAGTAATAACTAATCAAATAATGGATAACAAGAAATTAGCACTACCTAATCAAATAATGGATAACAAGAAATTAGCACTACCTAATCAAATAATGAAGTAACAAGAAATAACCACTACCTAATCAAATAACAAAGTAACAAGAAATTAGCACTACCTAATCAAATAATGAAGTAACAAGAAATTAGCACTACCTAATCAAATAACAAAGTAACAAGAAATTAGCACTACCTAATCAAATAACGAAGTGACAAGAAATTAGTAACACCTAATCAAATAATGCACCAATTTACAGATTATCAAAAACTTAAGAGGCCAAAAGCTACAATTTAACTTTGCATCTCAATCAATTTGTGGTTTAATTTTTTACAAACATTAATTACTTTGCAAAATTAGTTGGCAATTATTTGTGACATACAGATTAATGTCATGTTTCACACAACAGATCAATTGAAATGATCAATGAAATACTTTGCTTGCTGTATAAATTTTCTGAGCTAACAATATTAATGCAGCATTTTAGGAACGATTAAATTTTTTTTTTAAATGTATATGAACAAGCTAATATAAAAGAAACAAATTCTATAATAATATATATGTTAAGAGATTTATAAAATATATATATTTGAAGTAAATTATTTAACACAAGCAATAGTACATAATAGTATGTACATCACTGCCATCATAAAAGAGCAAAGGAAATTAATTTACTATCATTTGGATTACACTCAAAGTAATCACCTGACATATCCACAAACAGAAATTTAAGCACAACCTTCAGAAAATATCGTTTTATTCTGCTGTCCTAGAGTAGGTTTAATTATCACATTTTGTTCTTATCTTACAAGATGATTTTAACATTTTTCCTATACTTTTCACACAGAAAACTGTACAAAAATCCTTAGATTTAGCATTAGATTTAATGACTTAAATAGTCATGAATTTTACCCTTTTATGCCTAGTATAGAATAAATCTATATTAGGCTTATTCAAGTAATTTTTTTTTTCAAATTTCCACATAGTTTCTAGATATAGTTATGACATTCTCATTGAGTGGATGCCTAAGGGTGGTAAGGTAAATGCTAATTCTTTTACACAGGTAAAGGCTATATACTGCACCCTTTATTCTTAAGACTTAAGCTAGTGCAAACATGGGAGGATGGCAACATAACCAAGACTGAAAATGTAAGCTGATGAGTGAAGCAAGGGAACATTTTTTAGTTCACATTTTAACAGTTGCATGTATACTCTAT